AATCAATTTCAATATATATCTTAAATAGATATATCAATATCTAATATTATTTATATTTTCAAATTTTATATTATTATTTTTATATAATAAATAAATATTTCAAATTATATAAACCAAATATAATATATATATATATATAAATTAAATAAATACCACATACACAATATTTTAATAAAAATGATATAACAAATAGATTATTGTTTATATAAATAAATATTATAAAATATAAACCAATTAAATAACATAATATATATATATATAATTAATATAAATTTAAAAATATATTATGAATATAATATAAACCTAATCAAAACTTATAATTTTTAAATAGTGTGCCCTCCAAAGTTTTGCAGCGCGTTTGAACAATGATCGGCTCCGGGTCGAGCGTTGGACAAAGATAAGAATCTCGCTGCCCCTCCCCCCTCTTACCATTATCTGTGATTTTCAAGCTGATTTCACATATTTTGAAGACCATGAACAGCCGTTATCATTCTTTTACAATCAGACCTTTGTTTTCTCCGGCAAGTGGCAAGCCAGTGAGACGAGACGCCCGCTTTCTTTGAAGTTGTCAACCCAAAGGTTGGACCAAATTTGTTCTCCAAGCACGCCTTTGGCTTCTTGCCCATTCTGCGCCATGCCATCTTAAAACCACATGCCAATTTCAAACAAAAAGGAACAAAGAGCGTCCTTTGTGATCTGTGTGCGGGTTGCATCATGTTCCCTGCCACGGCGGCAATTCCAAGAGCAGAAGTAGATCTTTGCTGTTCTTTGCAGCACCTTCTCGGTACTGGGGCACTGGCGTTGCCCAATTGCACAGGTCTGCTAAGATGGGCGCCCAGCTTGCTTGATAAAACCCAATGATTCTGCATTTGATATACTCTGGTGCAAGCTGATTGCAGCCGTCCATCACTTGGCGAAAAGTGGGCCTAAAAGACTTTTGCAACTCTCCAATGTAGAAGGAGAGTGCGAGACAAGTTGTGACTCTATATGCTCTTTGTCAAAACCGACGAATTCCTCACCCTATCAACCGAACTGCTGGACGCAACAGGTGCAAAACCTCAGCGAGTTGAGGGCAGCGTATTGCATTCTTGGGCCACGTGTTGCAAAGGCGTGGCTGTCCACCTGCATACTGTTGCAGAGCTTCAAATTTGCATGTTACAATGTTATTACATGGTTGGAAAGGGGGCTGTTTTTTCGAACCCCGAACACGTTCTTTGACCTTCATTCTGCCTTTTGGCTGGGCATCTCGTCAGAAATGGTCAACCTCAAAATCTACCTTGCTGCAGACTGCAATGCATACACCCTATCAATGCCTTGTTACACCCTGCTGTTGCCATACCCATTCCAACTATACAAACCCCTGCAGTAAATCCACAGCCAGCAATCTCTCGTGCGCGCAAGCTGAGGAAGCCGCGCTGATGGCTTCAACCCACCAGGCGCCTGCAGGTCTCAGCATCCTGCGAGGCTTGGTGCCGGGCAAATGGACACATGGACTAACACCGGTCAATTGCTGGTGTAATTTGACCCATACCCCTATGAGTCTTGCGCCGAAGCTTTCGAAAGTGGCAACATGCGTGAGTTTGCCAGCGCAACATTCAGTCCTTGGGATCAAAGCCCCAAAAACCTCGGGCCAGGGGAGAGCTTAACAAGCATGGCGCTTCATCTTTTGAGGCTGCCGCGATAAAAGCCCTGTTTTCTTCTCGGCCTGGCCCGGTGAATTCACAGAAGCAACTGGAGAATCACTTCTTCCCTAACCGACTATGGCAATGTGAGAGCCGCAACTGTTCCAGCTGTCACAGGAGTCATGTCGTCCCACATCGGGAACTGATTGCTGGCAACTTGAGTGCCTTTGCATCATCTGCAATTCGAGCAGCAAGTGCGTCAATCTCGGCCTTAAGGCTTGCCCATCCAGCCATGATGGTTGGGCGGGGGCGAGCTCAAACTCACGCCAACTCCTCTTGGGCCCTCGCAGAATCATCCCTCTTCTTGTCTCCGGCCGCCTTCTTGGTCTTCTTCTTGGCCTGGACAATTCTGAGTCTCTTCTGGCACCGGAGTGATCCGGTAGGCGCGGCGCTGCCTTTGGGGCCGCCTTGCCCTTGGCTCGGGGCTTCTTGGCCAGCGTCTCCTTGCAGCAGGAGACGCTGCCTATGGCCACAGGGCAGCTTGGTCCTCCTCCTCATCTTCTGGCGACAGTTCCATGGCCTGAGAGAGTCCAACTTGTGACCCGTGGATTCCAAGATCCGTGTTGAGAATTGCTGGTCTATCCCCCCTACCTTAGGGGGGGGGGGTAGGGGGTCCCTCGGTTCCATTTATCTAGTCTTCCCCTTGAAAGGGGCAAATGGAACTATAAATGGAATTTCAGGGGTCACCCCCCTCCCCCAATTCCATTTTAAGGGGGCAGGGATGCTTGTTTTTTTTTGCACACCTGCTAGTGCTGCCAGGCAGCAGCGGATCCCTGTGAAGCTTCGGCTTCAACCACTTCTTCAGCTGTGGCTTCCACTGCCTCTGCCTCCTCTGCTACCTGGCCATTGAAATGCCCGGGCTCTTTCCAAAACTGTGTGCCTCTGTGTGTGTGTGTGTGTGTGTGTGTGTGTGTGTGTGTGTGTGTGTGTGTGTGTGTGTGTGTGTGTGTGTGTGTGTGTGTGTGTGTGTGTGTGTGTGTGTGTGTGTGTGTGTGTGTGTGTGTGTGTGTGTGTGTGTGTGTGTGTGTGTGTGTGTGTGTGTGTGTGTGTGTGTGTGTGTGTGTGTGTGTGTGTTTGTGTGCACGTGCACGTGCCTGTGCAGTGGATGGGTGCCTGCGTATGTGCAAGCGTGCGAGTGAGAGAGAAACAGAGAGAGAGACACAGAGAGACGCGCATGCATCGATATTGACAATTGCAGCTGAGCAAGGCCGATGAAGCAAAACACTTGGAAACAAGGGTCTCCACATGCTTTGCTCTCAGATGCTTGGAACGGTTGTTGGATCTCTCTACGGCCAGCACACACTCTTCGCCCGTGCCTCTTCTTTGGGCTCGGGCTCGCTGATCGGCGCTTCTGGTTCAGCAGCAGTGGCCGCCTTTTTGCTTGTTTGTTTGTTTGTTTGTTTTAAACTCGCTACAGCTGCCATTGAGTGAGCCTCTCCCCATGCAAAGGGGAAGAGGGGGGATTTATGTTGCCTAGCACCAGCATAGTCATTAGCACTGGCTCACACGCTAAGGTCGCTTCCTGAGAAGCAACTCTCGCTTGAAAAGCATATTTTCGGGGGCGGTGTCCAAAAGGTGCCTCAAACCTTGAGGTGGGTTTGTCCGGGGTTGGGCACTGCTGGGTTTGAGGCTTTGTTTGAGGGTTGGCTGGGGCTTTGGTTTGGGGCTCAAACCCAAAACCAGCCAACCAAGTATGCACTTTCACCAGGCCCTAAGACAGCCAAAAACCTTTCGCGCAAGAGCTTCAAACACCAACCAACCAACCAACCAACCAACCAACCAACCAACCAACCAACCAACCAACCAACCAACCAACCAACCAACCAACCAACCAACCAACCAATCAACCAACCAACCATGATCGCACGCACGCACGCACGCACGCACGCAAGCAAGCAAGCACACACGCAAGCAAGCGGGCTGGTACTATTGGCCCAAGTAGGCGCTAGCCAAAGCAACACTGGTGTTTACACCGGTGCCCTCTACACAGGGTTCTCTACAAGAAGCGGTGCAAGTCGATTGGAGGGCAATGTGGGACTGGCTGCAGGCCTCCGCTGTGGTCTCAGCTGGCTCCTCAGGAATCTGAAGGAAAGGAGACGCTGGACGAGCTTGACCCAACCTAGACACATGGGTGGGGAACACACTTTCGCGGTGCTCCTCCTCGGGAGCTTCCAAGCTGCTAAGCTTTGCCTCCACCTCTGCACACAGCGTGAGAACCAAAAATTGGGCGGGTTCTGATGGCCTCTGCGACCACACGGTCCGCTTCTGCAACCTGTCACGCAGGGTCGGCAGGGGCCTCTTGAGACTCAGCCAAGGGGTTCTCCTCTTAAGGAAACAAGCCCACTGAGCAACTCGCTTACGCGCGAGCTAGCGCTTCGCTTATGCGACCCATGTTTTAGCGTACGCGACGGGCATCGAGCATGTCAAGCTTACGCGCTGCTCATGCGTCGGCGTTTTGAATTTTATTCGCAAGTTTAGCGGTTCACTTTTCTATGCAGCCGCCACTGTTCAAGATAACGTCGATGACTCTAAGGAGGAAGTTGAGATGAAGAATTGCTCTAGTATCTAATTGGCGCTCTTGCTCAGCACTTTGGATTAGGCCGACAACTTTGCTTCCAGAGTTCGCGTTGCCTCCACTGCAGATCAGGGAATGATTTGCGGCATCATGGCGTGGGCGAGCCGGCAGCTTGCGGAAACCTTACGCGCCTGCTTGCGTCTGCTTACGCGCCTGGGCTCCTTAGTTTTGCTGAATCTGCGCGGTAACCCCTGTGGTTTGGCAATCCAGCAGCTAAGCCCCGTCATTCAACTGTTTTTTTGCAAGCAGTGAAGCAGAGCTTCCGCGGGCGCTTACGCAGCATGTTTCCAACCAAAAGGTGCTTATGCCGGCTCCTGCCGTGCAGAGTTTTGCTTGGGCACGCATTCCCACACAATTCTTGCTTGGCCGCGGGGGTTTTTGAGAGCTGCTCCCCTTGGTTTTGTCTATCAGAAGAATGGAGGCCGTGTGAGCCTTTTGTACCTCTGCACTTTCGCCAAGCGCTCGAGCCACTCTTAGGCTGCCACACTCGCAAGCAGCTCTGCTCTCCTGCCCACCTTCGGCCCAAAGGCAGCGGCAATACAAACCAAAGATGGCTTCCTTTGGGCTTGTGGCAGTCTTTTCTGTGATTGGGAGAGGCCGGGACGGAACTTGTCGAGGCCCCATTCACAAGTCATAAATCCGTTAATGAGAATCCTCGCAGATGCCTGGACATTGGCTTTGATGGCTTCGGATTTTAACCATTCTTAACCAAGTTTGTGCAGGCTCACTCACCGTTGGCAGGCCTTTCCCTTCACCTCAGGCAAAAGTTCGTCGAATGTCTGCCCCTTCTCCTGCATCTTTGCCTGGTCAAAGGCGCCAGGATGCTATCGATGCTCGTGGCGTAGGACAAGCAACGGCACTGGGAAGCACCCATTTGACATGCCCGTTTTGATGGTTGGAAAGCTGTACTTGTGCACGCACCCGCATTGAATTGGTATTTCTGCAGTGGTCACTATGGTTCCGCTCTGTTTGTTGAGCTATGTATCCGCCTCGATGGCATCAATCTCCTTGATCTTCTTTAAGGTGTTCTTTTTCTGCTTCAGGCTAGCCTGACTTACGGCAAGGCAATGCTGGCAAGTGTGACATGACTTCAACTGATGATGAAAGGAATGGCTGCGAACCACCGTCCTGCTTCTTGTCCTCAAGCTCCTGCGCCAAAGGCAAAGCTACATTCACAAGACATCCCTGGAATCACTTTTATGTTGCAAACGTGCACACGTCTGGCCGTGCACACGTCTGGCCGTGCGGTTACCGAAAACATACAGCAACGATTACAACAACCGTCCACTTTGGGGTTTGCTTGAAGCCTCGGGAACATGCCGCCTGCTTCTCTCGCTCCAATGCTTCAGCGGCCGCAGCAGCTGCGGCGGCGGCCTCCTCAGCAGCACCTGGCACGGCTTTTCCGCGCATGCACGCGCGCAAGCCAGCGGACAAATGGGTATGCCCTTTCTCAGAGACACCCTGGTTGGTTCATTGTTCGGGGTTTCCCATGCGACAACCCAAACTCAAGCTTGGGATTCTGGATGGCCACGATACTGAAGGCGATGGCACTGGGGTCGCGACGTGCTGCCAGCACCTCGGGATCCTCGTGCCCGGGCTTAGCAGCTCTCTCCCCTGTGCCAAGCCCCGTCCTCTTCCTCCTCTTCTGGCTCTTCAGGCTCTTCGACATCCGCACCTTGACTCTCTCCAAGAGAGGGCGAGAGAGAGAGAGAGATAGAGAACAAAAACTCAGAAAAAAAAGAAGAAGAGCTGCTGGTCGAAGGATGCGCCAACCACAACTTGACTCTGACCCTGGTAAGATCTAGGCCAGCTTCTTCTTCAACCTTCTCCTCCTGGCAAAACAGGGCAGCCACGGCAAAAAGAACAATATCCTTACTCGCCCGCCTCAGCCAGCTCCTCGGCCTAGGTTTGCAAACAGATCGGGTCTGGCTTCAAGCCCTGCTTGTGACTGGCATGGCTTGTGACTGAAGAAGTCGCGACGCTCCCGCCTGTGCGGCAGGCGCCTCCTCCACCACCTCCTCCTGGTCTCCCTGCGCCTCCAGCTCCTAGGCTTCGCGACAGGCTGCTCACCATGCATGCCAACGGGATGCTTCAACATGCCCAGCCCAAAACGTGACGCACGTTCTTTCTTTCAAGCATACTATTGGCACGTCCTACCTCCACCTCTGCCTTTGCGACGCTTGAGCCTATTCACGGCCAACTGCATCATTACTTCATAAGTGTTGGCTCTGTTCATGTGGCTGGTCATGGCTGGTCTCCATCCTAGCCCAATGAGGACATGACCCGGCCCAAAATATTTTGTACTCCACTGACCCTAGAGTTCGCAAGCTGTCACACTTAATGATGCCCTCTTCTGCAACTCATGCCACCTCTTGCAACTACTGGTAATCAAAATAGCATCCACATGCTTCCAGCTTTGTCGATCCTAGGGGTTTCTTCCACTTGTGACCCACTTCCACTGGCCCGGAGCCCTTCAGCCTTGAAGGCCCCTGCCCCACGTGGCAGTGTATTTTGGGCTACTTTTGTTTTGCCCTGACCGCGCCTCAGCCAGCCGCTCGAGCTCAGCAACCTACGATGCGCCGGGCTACACCGTACAGGCCCAAGTCACTGTCGCCTGATGCCTGGCGCTTAGTTTTGGGACCCTGTATTGCGACTAGGTGTGTTGACGGGAAGAAAGACTCTGATGCTTTCCAACTGCAAAGACGTCCACAACCGCATCCAGGCCAAACAAAACAATCTCTGAGGACGTGCTGACCAAGCACCTGACCCAACCAGGCACAAACCGGGCTCCCTGCTGTCTGCTCCAATTCGGCCTTGCGCTTGATCCTCGCATTGGCTAGTCCAAGGTGGTGGACAAACGGTGCCTCCAAAGCAAAACAAATCCTGGGAATATGCCCTGATCAGAGACACAAAAAAAAAGTTGCAAGTGGAGTCATACTAATAACTCCCGACCCATTCAAGCCCAGAGTAAATCAGTGCTTGTGGCCACCTCGTGTCACTCTCTGTGAAGCAATGAGGCACGTGCTTGTCTTTCTGGTCATCCGACAAGTGCGAGTACCTGACCTAAGCAACGGGCGCCCATTTCGGTTTCGGAAAAGCACCGTTCGACTTGCGACGTGAGGTGACCTTGCCTGCTTGGCGGTGAGCTGTGCCTGACCGTTTTGGCGAGCGAGTCGCAGTCAGGCTGGCGAGAGCACATCACAGCCGCGTCTGCTTTCTGCCGAGATGGTGAGCGCTACCAGAAGGCCAGAAGGCCTTACATTATGAGTTCCTGGTGCCCCTACATGCCGCGGGTCCTGACAGGTGAGGACTTGGCAGCCTCAACGAAAAAAGTGAGCTCATCACCATGCTGCAAAAGAAGGGAGAGGCGCAGAAGAGCATAATGATGTGCCTTCTGGCCGTCTGTGCATTGAGGGAACGAACAAAAAAAACGCGCCGCGATGCCACAGAATAACATGTGCAGCACGAAAATATCCCGCGGCTTTGCCTACAATAGCAAAGCCAGCGCTGTGCTTGCGGTTTACATGAAAAAATGTAATGGACTCAGGCGTCTGCAAAAGCGTTGGCCCTCGGCACAGGCGTCGCCTCAACATCAACACGATCTGCCTTTGGCTTTTGCAGGTATGGCTGCGCCACGACCACTGCATGCTTGCTGAACACGCAGCAGCTTGCGCAGCACCCAGTGAGCAGGAGCAGAACCAAATATGCGTTTAGAATCCACGGAGAACTCGCGGCCACAATAGCTGAAGCGAACTCGTCATACCACAGGCATGCACTGTTTATGCAATAGCGAAGTCCTGTAGGTGGTGGTCCGTCGTCGAATACGTGGCCTAAATGAGCGCCGCATGTGCTGCAGTGAACTTCCGTGCTGCCATACTGCAGAATATCCTTTCGATATCCCATGGCATCCGTGACAGGAGCTGTAAAACTTGGCCAGCCTGTTCCGGAGTTGAACTTCGCATCCAATGGAAACAATGGGGCGCCGCAACACGCACATCGGTAAACTCCACTGCCGTTGAACTCCTTGTGGTCGTGTATTCCGCTGAATGCTCTCTCCGTACCACCGAATGCACATACCTTGCAAAAACTATTCGGGTTGCAAAGACACGTTCGAGTGAATCCGTTTTGGCCTCGGAAAAAATCAACAACAACAACAACGGAGCTCCTGCAACATTCCCAATCCCACTCCAAGGCGCCATCTGGAACAGGTCCCTGCCATCTGGAAGGTGGCGAGTGTGATTGCACAGCTCGGACTTCATCGCCGTGCCTTTGCTGCCGCTGAGGTCCCAGCCACCTGCTGACAGCCACCTCAGAATCCAAGGGTCTTCCATGGGGCCCATCTTATTATGCAGGTTCCCTGTTTTACCATCCGAAAGGGGCCCAAGAAGTTGAGATGCAACAAGCAGGACTTCAACTTCCTTTCATGTCAGGAGCATCAGTATGACCGCCAGCGTCACAAAGGCCGCAGATGCGGCGAGGCTGGCAAAGCGGCGGTACGGCTCATCGGCCATGGGAAGAACGAGTGTGCGTTCAGCCGGCTTGATGCAATGCCGCTGGCCTGAGGCCTAGGAGGCCTTATCTGATGGGCTATCCTTGCTTCATAGGGATTCTTGAGCCAGAATATTGCCCAGCTTTAACATCACTCCTTCAACACCTGTTTACAAGGGTGTCATGCGCTGACCTTAGGTCTCACCATCTTAATCGATCACGAACGGCCAGTCGAGCAACACCCAAAACCCGTGGTTCTACCTGTGTGTCAAACAAAAACAAGGCCTTGCTGTAGAACCCCCGAAAATGGCCACGCACTTTGGGTGCTCACCTGCAGCGCGTCGATGTCCTTCAGCTTCTTCTTGCAAAGCTTGTGCTGGTTTCGCTGCGCCTCAGCTGCCCATTTTGCCGAAGGGCCGACACTCTCAAAGCAGTGCTGAGCGCAAAGCAGTGCTGAGCCTCTTCAAGGGGTTGCCTGGCGAATTCTGCCGCCCGTGAGTGCTGGTGGCAGGTTCTTTCCAATGAAGGATGGGAGAGCTTTGAAACATCATCTTAGACAAGGATCTAAAACCACTCAGTCCACTCCCTTCTCTCCATCTATCCAGCTGGTTTTTCGAAGTGAATCAGATAGGGTGCAACCGGAGGGATCGCTCGCTGAGCTTCACACTGGGCGCGCTGGGCGCAGGCTGGGGAACTTCTGGCTCGGGCACAGCCTTGCGAATTCTGCAGGTGTCCAGCTCGAAATGGGGGGGATCCCAGATTGGTGTCTCCCTTTAAGAAGGTACCCAAAACGAGAAAAGACAGGTGCCAAACAAAATGGTGGCACCCTTCGAATTGGTGCTTCCCAAGAACAGGCGCCAGCAGACAGAATCAAAAGAGACAAACACACCTCAGTTGTCTCTCCTAGGCTTTTGTGGGGCAGTGACAGTCCCTGTAGGCCTCGCCAAAAGAATCATACCTATGATAGTTCTTTTTTCTTCTGCTCAATCGGCTGTTTGATACATTTTTTGTGCTTGCGAGCGTGTTTTTTTTGACAAACGAGCGCTACTAGTTGTTGAGTGATAAATCAGCCAACTGGAAGTTCCCGCAACACGAGCGCACATCAAAAAGTGCTAGTTTTGATGCGCGGCACCTGCTGCAAATCGTGCACATGAGTAGCGGAAAGACTGAGCCCACACGATGGACAGTGCTTTCTTTTTCGATATCTGCATCGCATCTTTCTTGAACCGCTCGCGGAACATAACGCTCAACGGATGATTCAGGTATATCAAGGTGGCTCATGCAGTAGTCCGAAGGGTCGCAAAGCACCGCCCCACCCTGTGAACTAGCCACAATGGCCGATTAAATTTTGGCCGAACCTCACGCGCAAGCTGCACCCGCCTCTGCAACTTCCTTGGCAGCAGCCACAGCCGCAGCAGCCGCAGCCGCAGCCGCAACCTCAGCCTCAGCTGCCGCCGCCGCCGCAGCGGCTTCTTCTGCAGCACGGTCCTGGAATCGCCGGGCCCAGCTACCCTCCCCAAAATGGACGTGCAGCCCTTTGGCTCACTTTCCAAGAATGATCTTGCAGGCACTTCCACGTTGGGAGGGTACATGCAATTCAAAGAGCCCCCTCTCGTCGCAAAAGCCCAGGCTTCCGTGCCACGAGCCCCGTTCGATCGCTCACCCAACCGAAGGCCATACTCTTGGGCCTATGACTACCATCAACCCAAAGGAAACATCTATCTCGTGGACCAGTTGGCTCCAACTCCCCCCCACCCCACCCCACACAAACACAAATTTGTCTTGTGTTTTCCCTCCGTCCCACGGCCTCCATTTGCTTCTTGCGGCGTTCCTCGAGCTCCTGACGTGCCTGCTCATCCAGTTGTTCTTTCTTGTGGCGCTGCTCTTCCTGCAAGGGGCTACTGGACTGAGTGCCACCCGCAGGCACGGGAGATGGGAAGGTTCTGACTAGCTTGGAACGAGAGAATGGCTCCAACCATCCTAAGCACTCTTGAGATCATGCCTTCTTACACCAATCCAAAGAAACAGCGTTTCGCACAAGCTCATGCCACTAGGTTTAGCATTCAGACTTCCAAGGTGGCGCTTCGTGCAAAGTGGCGCACTCCTTAGCCCGTGGCCCGAGGGCGCCGGGGCTTCTTTTTTGTTTCCACGAGTGCGAGCGGCTGCTTGCTGACGCTTTCTCACGGGAGCGGGCCATTTTGCGGCAAGTGCAGGGCCATCGAGGCCCTGCAACAAAGGCACACGGGATTTGTGCCGGCGCTCAGTACCAAGCGAAGTGCCGCAACCTGCTCCAAACAGATGCCTCCAGGGGCAACTGCCATGGTCAAGTGCACGCGCACTGAGGCTATGGAGCATGAACAAGCTGTAGACACGTGGCCTCATGCTAGAGACCAACATTTCACGGCATCCATGGATACAGTTGCACACCAGCGCCTGTGTCGGGCTCTCACCCTCCACCAGCCTGATGTCCGGCCGCGCCGAAAAGCACATAACAAAATCGCGTGATTTGAGCCTCGCTTCGGCTGTTAGCCCGCTTCTTGCTGACTTCTCCTGAAACAAATCTCATCTGAGCTGCCCCAACGCATGTGAGCAGGGCCTCTGCTTGAAGCTCTTCTTCGCGGCGCTGTGTGGCCTGTGACTGTCATCTGGCTCGCTTGCCAGGCCTTCCACCAGCCTTCAGGGCGGCTTGCCTCTTGGCCAGGACGGCTCGAAGCTTCTTGGAGCGGCTCACCATCTCCTGGATTCAGCGCTGCGGATGAACAAAACTCACTTCGCACCGGTTGGGATGGATGAAACCTTACGAATACTGGAGAAACCACCTGTCGACTGCAGGGTTTCGTCCATCCACCAGATACAAGCGACACCGGTTGCCAGTCTCTGCCGTCGCATCTCGCCTCCATCTCGGCCTGGCCTTCTTTGGCCTCAGCGTGGCATGGCTCGCATGCCATGTGTCTAGCTGGGAGAGTCTTCAGACCGGGAACCCAAAACCAAAAGAAGAGGCCGCTTTGACAGTCTCTTTGGCCTCCATTCTCACATGGTGAGCTTGGGGGCTGGCCATGTTCGTCGAGTTGGTACCCGAGATGGCGCGGATCCTGCGGCTCCCCACGATTCCGCGCAAGAGAAGAACAACGAAACGGGCCAGTCCTGGCTTGCTTCGACTTGATCTCGGCCTCCAGCTCCTTTATTGCCTGCGCTTCAGCAGTCTCTTGCCACATGCAGGCGTTGTGGCTCTCCTTCTTGTACTTCTTCACCTGGCTTTCACCATACTTGATGTCTTCCTGCATAGACCATGCTGGACCCATTCCGTCACAAACTTGCGATCGAGCATTGATGCGACGAGGCAAACGTGAAGGATTGTCCTAGCATGTTCCAGGCAAGATTGTGGCATACCTGAATGGGACCTCTGCTGGCTTTGTCACCATATCAGTTACCAGTCCTTGACCCATTGAATGGACTCCTCCTGCCAAACAAGCTGACTTTCCAGGGAGGCGATCTCGTCACTTTTCTTCTTTGCCATTGCAGTCGCCTGGCGCGCCCCTCACTTTTCCTCTTTTCCTTGTTGTTTTCTCTAGCTTTTCGCAAAGCTGGAGCCAACACCTGTGTCCCTTTGCAGCGCACGAATGAACAGAGGCCATGCGCCTGCACCATCTTGTCTCTGAGCCTCAACTCTTTCTTCTGAGACTCCTGCAAGCGCTCATGCTTCACGAAAAAGACAAAAGCAGGTACTTGTGAGCCAAAGGGGGTGCGCCTCGTAGGCATTCTCAGCAACTTTGGCTGCCTCAAGGGCCTGCTTCACCTGCACAAGTCGCAGAAGTATATCAAACCACCTGCGTACTTTGCGGCCAGCCTCTTTCTCCAAATCGCCGTGCGTCTTCCTAAGGCCAAGTCAACACTATTCTGTGGTCTGATCAGAAACGTTCATAAGCCTGCGAGCATGAGCTGGCCTTCATGGGTAAGGTGGTTTAACAAAGCCAGGTTGCTAGAATGCACCCAAATCAACCTTCACTGCCTCTCTGGCAGAACATGTCTCTGACAGAAATTTGCTCATTGAGCACCGGACTGGGGGACTTCGTAGTCCATTTGGGCCGCCCATTTGCCGTCGTCGCTGTCATCCTTGACGAGATCTGCCTGAGCACAACCTACTGCAGCCGCTTTTTGGACTGGCAGCTGCCCAGCCTCCCAGTCTGCATCAGGCATTTCGGGATTCCTGAGTCCATCACCAGGCGAGATTGCGTTGCAGCTGATCACAAGGCGTTCACGTTTCTGCATGCGACGACGCCAGCCAAGTTTGAGAGTTCACACAAGCCTTCGGCGCTGTCACAGGAAGGTCGAAGTCAGATTTTGTTTCCTTGTTGATTTATCCCACTTTAGACATTGCACTGTTTCGTCCTATGTTAACAATGGCTAGTCATGCCTTTGCATCCGAGGAGCTTGACGCCCAGGAATCCCTTCGTTGCCTGCCAACCATGCACTTCCACAGATTGCCTCTCTTATCTGTGTATTTATCTGCCTGCCTACCTATGTTTCCATCTCTCCCCTGCCTACCTACCTATCTTTCAAAAGCTGCCCGCGCAGCAAGTGGGCGTAAACATCCAGGCACGCGCGCACACGTGCCTACACACACACACATGGCGGTTGATTGAAATACCCGTTCCCGAACCATCTTCGCAAAAAAAAGACATCGCGATCTCCGGCGCGTACTTCCGGGGTCGTTTTTCACGACATTCAATACGAACTGCGCTTCCGCAGCCCCGTCTCGAAAGTCGCAACTTTTCGGCATAGAAGTAGGGCACGAAGTGCGCTTCCGTAGCCCAGCACTGAAGTCGCAACTTTCCAGCTCCAAAGTAGTAACCATCTCTTCCTACTAACACACCCTTCCCCAATAATAAGACCCCCCTTTCCCAGTGATGCCAGTACTAAACAACGCAGTCTGGAACAGATCTGGCCCAAACCCAGGGACCTTCATAATCAGCCCCCAAGGGCAGTTGATTGGAGAGGATTACGCGAGGCGCGCTTCGCAGCC